TTTCTCCTCCTTGCTCGTTCACTCTTGCCATTTCATCTCGCGCCTCCTCGGCCAAGTGTGGAAGCGTAGCCCGCGGGGAATCGCTCCGAGGCGGGGATCCCGGGTCGCCCCCTTCTTCCTCCTGCAGCCCGATGGGCCTTCTGTCCCCACCTCCCCGCTCGGAACGACGCCTTCTTGGACACCCCTTTACCTGGGGACTGTGCCCCCCCCGAAAAGAAACCAGAAAGGCCACGTACCGCTCTGCGTGGCTCCTGAGAGCGTGCACGCACCGTCCTGCAAAAGGGTTATTAATTCTTTGCTCTTCCTTCAGAAATGACAAAGTGAGAGTTAAGTAAGATAAATGGAAAAGGTTTAAGGCGTCTGCGTTCTTTTGTGGAAGCAGGAACAGGAATGCCTATACCCATTAGCTAAACTTTGAGCGTACTGAAGAGTGAGTTTATTATTGGGGGCTGCTGTCAGGTGCCTTCGAGTCGGACCTGACTCCCAGCTGGCCCTCCTGCGAGTTTTACGAGGCTGTACACACGAGGAGAGATTTGCCCATCTTTTCCCTGGCCGGTGATCAATCGTTTTGAAATTGAGAGCTCATATGGTCAAGTCTTTAAAGAGCCCAGATGGGATTGTGCGTTACGAATTGGGTTGCCAACCCAAAGGTGGGCAGTTCAAATCTACCTACCACTCAGCCGGTGAAAGGCTGTCTAATCTAGAGTAAAGATTTACAGCCTCAGAAACCGGTGGTCAAAACCAATTGCTTAGCCAGTGGGCTAGTCAGCGTGAAGGATTTAACTGTGTTAAACACTCCCTCGTGTTCAAGAATTGGAACGTACACCTCGCTGATCCTCCATTGGGTTTTCCCCAGCTGTAAATGGCGCAGGAAGAAATTGCCAGTCTTCCTCCTGCTAAGATGTGTGGCCTTTTGGTTTGCAGCCCAACCACCTCTGGAACTTGGCCACCAGAGTTCTCTCGTAATCCTAACCTGTAAAACCTGACCCTGGTTGGAAATAAGAGTTTTCTTTTTATGTTAACAAGGTCTTCCCCAGAGTGAAGTGGGTGCTAAACCTAATCCCTTCTGGGTTACAAAAAGAGCAGAAGAGGCAATGCAGGAACTCCGAGGCAGGCCAAAGACTGGAACCCTTAAAACTAGGAGATCCTAATTTCTGATTTAGACTCGAGATATGAGGGAGGGGCGAATACCTGGGGGGG